TACATACACGGGACGGGGGGGGGGGGAGAGAAAGAGAGAAAGCATGTGAACTACTCCTTCATCTGAAACCTAGTGCTGTGCTTTGTTCAATTCAAGGTTCAGTAACAGGCACTGTGATACTCATGCCAGTATGGGTATCCTTCAGCTTCTACAATCGCCTGCTCCAGCTTAGTGCCCGAGGTACAATGGTCCATAACTTTCAATCAGCCCAGTAGCTATCCATGCTGCTTGGAAAGGATGGGAGTTGTATCCAACACATCTTGATGGCAAAAAAATAATAAAGACTGTTTCATAATGTACAACCTGAGCTGCTGTAAACCTCTGTTTGTTTGTTTATACACAGTAATAAAAGAGACAGCACAGACACTGAAAACTATAAAAGCACTTTCCAAATCTATGAAAAGCTATTGCCACTGCCTAGCCAAGCCATTACTCTAATGAATAACTGCAGAGTGTTTGAATGAGGCTTGAACAACATTACCATTGGCTTTTCTGAATAATCTATGCATCCAAGTTTCATTAATTTTAGTGTCAATTTACTAACCATGCCCCAATACAAAGATGCATTTGTGGACAGTGTTTAATACAGCTTAAAAATGCTTTTTTCATTAAAACTTGGTTGATTTGTATTAGGGATTCTCACATAAGATAATTATTAAATCCATATTAGTCAGCTTGGATTATAGTCAATGCTCTGGTTAATACAGATTATTTTAACATACTTTCCAACAATAGGAAGCAAATAGCTTTTCATTTTGTAGTCTTTACACTTAAACATGTACAGTTCAAATTTCATTGGTTACCAAAAACAATAAACTAATTAAAGAGCTGTGAAATTCAGAATTTGTACCCTGATATTACAACATTTGGATGAGGAATACAAGTAGTCCTTGTTTGGCAACTGCCTTGGATAGCGACTGTTTGCAAATACAACAGTAATAAATGGTAGTAAACAGTAGTAAAAAAAATAATCTCCCAACCAATGCATGCACTTACACCCTCATTTCTGTGCCTGACATCAATGCACGCCAAAATGAGAGTAACGCTGGCATTGCTACACGAGATAACCTTATCTAAATGAGGTGGCAGCAACCAGTGATGTTTGTGGCCTCTCTCTCTCTCTCTCTCTCTCTCTGTCAGGCCTCTCCCTCTCTCTCTCTGTCAAGTGGTTCATTTAGTGACCATGTCACTTAGTGACCATTTCACTGGAACTAATTGAAGTGGCTAAACAAGGATTACCTGAATAAGTGCATTTTTCTATTCTTTTTTATTAATATGAAACCATTCACATATACGTTCCTACAGGCTTACAATATAATACACTAGTGTACCATGTTGGAGTTCAGCCATATTTTTTTCAACTACACCTCTTTTTATTAAGTAGCAAGAAAGCAGCAATCTATTTGCCACGGTCCCTGTATGTCCTGAATTTCCAGTTCCTGCAAGAGAGACTAATCAACTCTATTGATTTTCCTCTACCATCTTTGCTACATGTTTGCAAGAGATGAATTATAAAAGCATACAACTAAATGTGAAACATTTTCCTCTGTGATAGAATTTGACTATTTTGTAGCAGAATTAATTGGGGGGAATAGATAAAATGCTACTAGTCCACATAGTTTGCCTAATGATTTCATGCTGCAAAATCACAGTTTACTCACATATACTTAGGTCATTCTATCAGTATTTCAATAAAGCCTCATTAGTCTACATGCTTTCTATTATACTATCTGATTTTTACCAAGATGTTTCTTTCACTGATGAAAGGTAATTTATTTTCTTCCACTCTGCTGCCTATATTATGCCTAAGCAACTCCAGGTTTAAAAATCTTTCTGCAAGGAAATACAGGTGTTACTGAAGTTCCTGAAATGGATTAGTAGCACTCACAACTTTTCCAGTGGTATCTGTGTTTCTTGAACTTTCTTCTCATTACTTTAAGAGAATGTTTCACAAGCAGGAGGCAAGCAAGGCATTCCTTGGTAGCTTAATCATAAATTGTGAATTTGGCAACAATTCATATTTTTTTTCTACAAGAGCCTGATAATTACTTTTCACACAGGAAAAAAAAAAAAGAATTAGCACTTCCAGAGTGGTAATAGAGTTAACAGCACAGCTGCCAGGTATGATGTCTCACCCACCTTTTACCTGCCTGAGATATTACCCCTCTTTTTCATGTATTTAATTCTTCATGTCAAATCACACTGGTTTGACATCTTCTGTATTGTGACCACTAGTTACAACCAGTATTTCTCATCAAATTAGACAGAACTAGCAAAAATATGACTTTCTTTATACTCTAAATTGTTTTATTGCAGAACAGCCATCAAGTTAAGCTACAGGGTGCTCTGTTTACTTTAAATACTGTATTTTAAAATATGCTTGCAATTAAACAGGTAAATACACACACACACACACACACAAATATACTAGA